TATGTGGACTGACCTGACCCCATTCTTCCCCTCCGTTGAATGGAGGTTTACATCTGGGGATTCAAGTCTTGGTGGAGTGGGTCTATAGCTGCTGTCTCAACTCCGGCTTTTTGGACGATCGTGGTTGACCAGCCCCCGTGAGAGGAGGGCTGGGTCACCCTCTGCCGGACCGAAACAGCATTTTACTCCCGCCATTGCCGTGAGAGGGCACTGAGGTCTCACATGCTCCATTGGAACTCTAGTGAAGCCTGGCATTTCACTCCTTCTGACTGTGATAACATCAAATTGGCCCCTGGTTATTGGCCATGGACTATCACCTCCCTTTGATCTTTGATGTACTCGGTGAATGACCTTCGTGCCCTGCGAGACTCCCCCCTCTCGCAGGTCTGGCCCTCTTCGTTATCGAGGGCCTATCTTGATGACGGGCGTTGGAGCCCCGAGAGATGGCATGCGGCTAAGAAGAGTTTGAGGGGTTTTTTAAGTGGGTTTTTTAGTGAGTCTTTAACAAAAATTTTAAGGGGTTCGGGGGGGATTAGGGTGGGTTCTGGGGGAAATCCACCGGGTTCAAGACCAGCCTTAGCGAAGGGCTGCGACATTAGGGACGTAGAACCGGAGGTCGGGGAGGGGGTTGGAGTTCGATTTGAAGAGGGCTGTTCCATCAGCACAGTGAGTGGGAGGGGCAGATATGGCGGAAGCTGGGGACCATATCATGTGCGGGAAATGCGCACTCGCTATCTTAGAGCGATTGCGCATTCCGGTCCCCAATGCTTTTCTTGTTCCCCAGGTTGTTCAGATTCTCAGGGCCAGAGCCTCCGGCTGATGTTGTGCAACGCCAGGTCCGTTGTTAATAAAGCCCCCCTCATCCACGATCTTATTCAGGAGGGGGAGGCGGACCTGGCGGGCATTACGGAGACCTGGTTGGGCCAGGAGGGGGGAGTCCCCCTCGTGGATATATGCCCACCAGGCTTCCGTGCATTTCATCAGCCGAGGGCTCAGGGCAGGGGCGGGGGGGTGGCGGTTATTATAAAGGAAGGTCTGGATCCAAGGGAGACCACTGTTCCACAGATAGCCGGATGTGAGTCCCTCTTTGTGAAGTGGGGTCGTGGAGTACAGATGGGCCTGTTGGTCACGTACCTGGCTCCCTGCCACGTGGCAACGGCCCTGCCCGAGCTCCTTAACGTTATAGCCGAGGTGGCGGTGGGCACCCCCAGACTTGCCATCATGGGGGATTTCAACCTGCCATCTATCGGTGAAACGTCTGAGGTGGCTCGAGAGTTCATGGCTTCCATGACGGCCATGGACCTTACTCAGTTAATTCATGACCCCACTCACACAGGAGGACACACTCTGGACTTAGTTTTTGTCTCTGGTCAGTGGTTGAGTGGCCTTGATATAGGGGATATAGCCATCGAACCCTTGTCATGGTCTGACCACTCGCTCCTTCGACTGGACTTTCTAACCGCTGCACCCTGCCGCAGGGAGGCGGGACCGACCAGGTGGTTCCGCCCCAGGCACCTGATGGACCCTGATAGGTTCCAGATGGAGCTTGGGCCATTTCCTGAGATTCTGGCTCATGACTCGGCTGAAGACCTGGTGGCCGCCTGGGATAGTGCGGCTGCCGGGGCCTTGGACCGAGTCGTGCCTTTGCGGCCTCTGACCCGGCACCGAACTCACCTAGCTCCTTGGTTTTCCGAGGAGCTTAGGGAGATGAAGCGCCGGAAAAGACGCCTGGAGAGTAGTTGGAGGACCAGCCGCTCCGAACCTGACCGAACACTGGTGAGGTCTCATATTAAGACCTACCTAGTGGCGATAAAAGCGGCGAAAACTAACTATTTTGCCGCTCTTATCGCGTCATCAGATAATCGCCCGGCCGCCCTGTTTAGGGTGACCCGCTCCCTCCTCCATCTGGAAGTGCGGGATGACCCCTTGCAGGGTCGAGCTGAGGATTTTGTGCAGTATCTGTATGACAAAATCGCTCAGATTCGGGAAGGGCTGGCCTCTGACTGGGTATGTCCAGACGGGATGACTGAGGCAGGTCTTGAGAGTGTTATCTGGGGGGGGTTCGATCCTGTGGCTCCCGAGGACATGGACAGGGTCCTGGGACGGCTGAACGCGACCACATGTTTATTGGACCCGTGTCCCTCCTGGTTGGTACTGGCTTCCCGGGAGGTGACACGAGGCTGGCTCCAGAAGATTGTTAACGCTTCTTTGAGTGAGGGGGTCCTGCCGGCCGCTTTGAAAGAAGCGGTGGTGAGGCCCCTCCTCAAGAAGCCTTCTCTGGATCCGGCTGTTTTGGCTAACTATCGTCCAGTCTCCAACCTTCGCTTCATTGCGAAGGTTGTTGAGAGTGTGGTGGCGCAACAGCTTCCCCGGTACCTGGATGAAGCTGTCTATCTAGACCCGCTCCAGTCCGGCTTCCGGCCTGGGCACAGCACGGAAACGGCATTGGTCGCATTGGTGGATGATCTCTGGAGGGCCCGGGATAGGGGTTGCTCCTCTATCCTGGTCCTGTTAGACCTCTCAGCGGCTTTTGATACCATCGACCATGGTATCATGTTGCACCGGTTGGCGGGGTTGGGGGTGGGAGGCACCGTTTTGCGGTGGTTCTCCTCCTACCTCTCTGACCGGTCGCAATCTGTGTTGACAGGGGGGCAGCGGTCGACCCCGAGGCACCTTGCTTGTGGGGTGCCACAAGGGTCGGTCCTCTCGCCCCTTCTGTTCAACATTTATGTAAAGCCGCTGGGTGAGATCATCCGTGGCTTCGGGGTGGAGTTCCATCAGTACGCTGATGACACCCAGCTGTACATCTCCACCCCAGGCCACCCCAATGATGCCCTTAAAGTGATGTCCCAGTGCCTGGAGGCCGTGCAGGCCTGGATGGGGAGAAACAGGCTCCAACTCAACCCCTCCAAGACCGAGTGGCTGTGGCTTCCGGCGTCCCGATATAGCCAGCTGACGCCATCGCTGGCTATTGGGGGCGAATCACTCGCCCCCACGGAGAGGGCTCATAACTTGGGCGTCCTCCTGGACGCACGGCTGTCGTTAGAAGATCATTTGGCGGCCGTGGCCAGGGGGGCTTTTTATCAGGTCCGCCTGATACGCCAGTTGCGCCCCTTTCTAGATCGGGACTCCCTACGCACAGTCACTCAGGCACTCGTCACTTCCCGCCTGGACTACTGCAACGCTCTCTACATGGGGCTCCCCCTGGGGTGCACCCGGAGGCTCCAGCTGGTCCAGAACGCGGCCGCGCGGGGGATTTTGGGGGCGACGAGGCGCTCCCACGTGACACCTCTCCTGCGCGAGCTGCACTGGCTCCCGGTGGTCTTCCGGGTGCGCTTCAAGGTGTTGGTGACCACCTTTAAAGCGCTCCATGGCTTAGGGCCGGGGTACTTACGAGACCGCCTTCTGCCACCAATAGCCTCCCACCGGCCAGTACGCTCCCACAGAGTGGGCCTCCTCAGGGTGCCGTCCGCCAGACAATGTCGGCTGGCGACCCCCAGGGGGAGAGCCTTCTCTGTGGCGGCGCCCGCCCTCTGGAACAACCTCCCCCCAGAGCTACGTACAATAACAGACCTCCGGATTTTTCGTCGGGCCCTAAAAACCCATTTATTTCAACTAGCTGGGCTGGTTTGAGTCAAATTTTAAACGGATTTTAAATTGGAATGTTTTAATTACGGCCAAAATTATTTAATTATTTTAAACAGATTTTAGATTTTGTATGTTTTGTATGTATGTCTTGTTTTTACTTTGGCTGTTCACCGCCCTGAGTCCTACATTGGAGAAGGGCGGTATAGAAATTTAAACAAATAAATAAATAAATAAATTTATGTGAAGCCATTAACTGATGGTGGACTGCAGTATCAACAATTTGGACTGCAGTATCAACAATTCCAGAAAGATTATGGATCTCATAAATAGTGTTTAGAGGCAATATTAGATATATTGAGAATTAAAAAAGCTAAAGCTTGGATATGGAAAATGGCTAATATAACTTCAAGAATTAAACTGGTATTTTTCCTGAAGGACTGGATTATAACTCAGGGTCCTTCTGGACTTGTCCTATTTGGATAAATACTGCTGCTAGAGGTGTTTTTCTATCTGTCTTAGGTCATCAGCTCTGAACTCAACTAGGTCAAGTAGATGCGATCTCAATTTTGCATGATCTAATTACATCCAGAAATGACTATTATAGTCTGTATATGGGGCTGCCTTTCAAGATGACTCAGAAATTGCATAAAATGTAGCTCTTTTATATCTGTGGGGGCAGGTGGAGGAAATAATCAGATCACATTAAACTTGTTTTGTATAAAGTGTACTGCTTGTAAGTTTCTTTTGAGGTGCAATATTTAATATTAAAAATAAACTAAAACAGTTTCAATCCAGTTTACTTGAAGGATCTCCTACACCCAGGTGAATTTGCTGAATAAGACTGTTTCAAGCCCCTGGGCACATCACCATAATCAACTAGTGGGCAGACACCAGAAAAGGGCTTTCTTTTTGGCAGTCTTATGAAGTTCCCTCCTGAAATATCCTGATCCATGCCATGTTTATATTTAAGAAATTTTAAAAAGCCTATCTAATCACACATTATATTTTGTATATTTTATTATTTCATTAAGAGAACCAATTGGATGTAATAATTAAGACAACAGACTAGAAATCGGGAGTTCAGGAGTTCTAATTCCTCCTTGGGTACAAGATCAGCTGGGTGACTTTGGCCCAGTCACTTTCTCTCAGCCCTAAAAAGGTGGCAATGGCAAGCCGCTTCTGAAAAACCTTGCCAAGAAAATTGCAGGGACTTCTCCAGGCTGAGAGTCAGATGTGATTGAATGGAGGAAAAGAGATTCATTAGTTAAGTATAGTAAATAAATAAACAAATCAGAAAAGTGGTGGAAATGGATGAAATAAATAAATGGCTGCTTGTAAAATAGCTCTAATATCTATTACATAGATAACCATTATATAACAAACATATTCTTTTTCATGTTTTTTCTTATTAGGGAATGATGTACCTGGAAGAGAGGAGACTGGTTCATCGAGATTTGGCAGCACGAAATGTCTTGGTGAAGTCTCCAAATCATGTGAAGATCACAGACTTTGGTTTGGCTAGGCTACTGGAAGGTGATGAGAAGGAATATAGTGCTGATGGTGGAAAGGTAGGTTTCTTTAAACTCATAAAATAGACCACGCCGTTAATATCCAACATAAAATAGGAAAGTGATCATGTTAAAAAAAAGGATTTTTAAAAAATTAATGAATGCATATTTATTGCTTTCATGAATCACATTTCTCTTCCCTACATTTATTTCAAAGAAAAAGATCAAGTCAAAATACAACTAATCCTTGGTGTTAATGTCTTTTATTAATGTCTTTTAATCTTTCTTTTACCTGTTAATCTATAATGTGTACCAACCAGAAGTTACCTTAAAAATGTGACTTTTTGAGTCAATTTTGTTTCAGAGGCCATGGTTCATACATATCTAAGTTCCACTAGCAGTACTTTTTAGAGACATAAAAAATTTGTTCCTGCTCCAGGGATGTAATCAGTACACTACCAAAAACTCTTATGTCTGAACTATTTGACTGGGTGAAACAGTGCATCATAGGGCAAAACTTTTTCAACCAACGTACCTCAAATGAGGTAGCTTAAAGAAAGCGCCCAAATGTTTAACACATTTTCCAATACATTAGAAGTTCTGCCATTGTTGAAGGCATTGAGGTATCAGGTAAGGAAACTGGTATCTCTGAAAGGATGACCAACAGCAATACTTTTGGAATATGAAACTGAAAATCTAGTTTTTCATTTTGATTTGAAAGACATTTAATAAGTAAATATTATGCTTGCTAACTTTTTATTTTTCCCTCTTTGTTCATTCTAGATGCCAATAAAATGGATGGCTCTTGAGTGCATACATTATAGGAAATTCACACACCAGACAGATGTTTGGAGCTATGGTAAAATAAAATCTATATTGAATTATATTCTGTAAATAATAACATTGTATTTATTTGCTAAGACCTTTTTATGACCTATTTTTAATAATAATGTGAAAAAGCTGGTAGTCCATTGGCTAGTTTTCTGAGTCCCAATTTTTCCCATTAAGCATATCTTGGAGTAGCAGTTCTCAAACCTTTACATTCTTAAAAATGATTGAGGATCCACACACAACTGCAATTCGCTATGTTTTTTGCCAGTTTCTAGCAAAAAAAATGATTTTCTTAATTACCATGGCATTTGCTTAATGATCACTGCAAAAAAGGCTGGAAAATTACTTTCAGTCATATGGATGCCTTGATTTAAGACCACAGTGACTTTCAACCACAATTCCATCCTCAATTGTGGACATAAATCAAGGATTATTCAAATATATATCAATATTTACTGTACTAAAAATTAAAGCTTCAAATATTTAATTATTTGACTTTGTGGAGCCTATAAAAGAGTTTTGGGGACCCTGGATGTCTCCAAATAACACTTTGAGAGCTGCTGTCTTAGAGGATGCAGTGAAAGATGTTTTCCTGGGTTCTGGATATGCAGGGAATTGACCTTGAAAATGATGGTCCTAGTTTACATGTTGTTAACCAAACTTATATAATTTTGTTTCCACATAGAAGGTGAAGTTTATTTTTTAAAAAATTCTGTATAGTTATTTGTTTTATATGTTGAAAAAAATTGCATTTCCATGAAGTCTTTGTGTCAGCTTGTTGAAACCACCCTTGGGCAGTGTTTTGCCTTATTGTTTGTAGGAGAAGGAATAGCAAAACCTGAGGGGGGAATCAAAAGAGGAATCAGCCTAGAGTCTCGACATAGTCACAAATGGATTAACTCCACCCCTTTTGAATTCTGTTGAGCTTTATCTAATGCCGATATAGTGCTAACCTTTAGTTGAGTAGATTTCTGTGTATTGGCATGATTAATAGTAAATAAGTTTAATTAGAACTTCACATGTGATCCTGGTCTTTCGTGACTGATATTAATCTGCCACTTGTTGTCCTACATTGGTTTCATAATGAATATTTTTCTTACTGAATTTTGAATATATAAAAATTGCTGTGTATCATAACTTAACATTTCTTATATTCAACATAAGAATATGTTGAATATTCATATTTCCTCCCCTAAAAGAGGGTGAAAATTTGGGTGTGTCTTATACATCAAATGTAGTCCCGCCAGCCCCCACTCTTTGGAAGTTGTCGGCCTTCACACATCGCATTTTCTGGTGGTTCCAGGTGGAAAGTGTTTTTGGGTAGCAGCGCCAGCTGGAGCTGCCCGCCACCTGAAACTTGATGCTCTTTTTTTGCCTCCACATGCCCCGTTTTTGGAATTGGGGAGGAAAATGCTTTTGGGCAGCAGCACCTTGCCTTACGCCCTCTGCGCTGCCACCCAAAAACACTTTCCTCCCCGATTCCAAAAACGGGGCATGCCGAGGCAAAAAAAGGCATGCGGAGGCATGATGTTTTCGGGCAGTTCCAGGCAGCAGAGATCGCAGCAATAGTGTTTTTGGATGGCGGCACCTTGCCTTACGCCCCCTGTGCAACACCCGCTTCGCCAAACGAGTCCCAACCTCTGCACTTCCCTGGGCCGCTTCTAGAATCAGGCTCCGACTGAGACAGCAAAGGCACAGGGGACTTGCCGGGAAGCCCGGCACCATGTTTACAAGATTGCAGTGTCGAGGAAGACTGAAGTGCTGCATCTCTATCGGCCCTTGCTGCGAGAAAACCAGGCTTTCAACGCCTACAGCTATAGGTAGGAAGACGGGGGAATCTCGAGAGTGGGGCCTTCAGTGCCAAATCCCTCTTCTGCCCCCATGAAAATCATCCCCCACCCCACCCACTCCAGTTAAATGTGTGTAGAGTGATAGGATTTGTTTTAAACAGATAAAAAGATCTGTGCTACTCATTATCAAAATCTGAGTGGAAGTGAGGACGCTGCTGATCCTGATGCTGGTAGGCAGAGGCAGAGTTCTTTTTTTCTTGTTTTCCTCCCCAAAAATTAAGGTGCGTCTTATAGTCCGAAAAATATGATATATGTTTAAAATATATGAATATTGAGATGATGATACCATCTTATAGAAATAGAAGAGTTTTATCCCGTAATTGATAAATTATCACATCATAGAATAAATACAGGATTGGAGGATTAAGCTTTGAGCTGGAAAAACTAACATGGGAATTTCACAAGCAACCTTGCCTTTATAAAAAAGCTCAGGTACATCTATAAACCCATATCTATGGAATTTGGTTAATGTAATTAATTAGAATGTCAAGCTAATTTTATTGGTGCCTGTTGTTGGCCACTTGAACAACGACTTGACTTGTTTTAGTATGATTTATCTGTCCCTTTTGTTAAACAGAATTGAATTTTAAGAAGCTATAAACCTCTGATGCAGTAATGCAAAAAAAAAAAACACCAAAAAACCCACCCTATATAATACTGTATATTCCACTATAGTAGCTGAAGTCTCATCAGAGACAATGTGTTTTATCCAATATTTTATCCAACTGTTTTCCAAAGCAGTTAATTTCATATTCTCTGTAGCTAAGAAAGCTAAACATTGTGGTTTAAATTGCTAATCTGTAAAATACATGTTCTGCCCCTTCTATTATTGCTTCATTTTGCAACCTAGCTATGTTCATTGGCAATGGTTAATTATACTCTGGAAAACTGTCCAACATGAACTTTTAATCTAATCTAAAGTCTGGATTTGTAGCCTCTTCCTATTTAACTTTGCTCATAGGTAAACCAAAGTACATTGGGACTTACTATTAGGATGCCTTTATTAAATCACAGCCTTATTCCTACTGCCTCTTAAATGAGAAACAACAAATCTGTTTAGTGTTATAACACTGAATGTCTTAATAATACATGGCTGCCACTATCCTACTTTTAATTTATTGACTATTATGCTTATTTCCTATGTGGGTTTTCAGTGTACATAGGTTTTTTTAAATTGGCTATAAGCCTTTTTCCTCCTTTATTAAAATACTAGCTCTTTATCATATGTTCCCTCCCTCTCTCCCTCTCTCCCTCCCTCCCTCCCTCTCTGAGTGAATGAGTGAGTGTGTGTAATGACCAGCTTCTCCCCCAGTTCCAAGAAAGTATGAACTCTTGAGAACTTTGTATTTCAAAAGGAGCCTTTTATTGAAAGGGATGAAAGCAAGTCAAAACTCAGAGCAGGCTCTGGGGTCCCTCAGGGCATGCAGTTCAGGATAAAGGAAATTAGGAACCCCCTCCCCACTGTCTGATATGGACTCTGACCAATCTGCAGTGTGAAGATGAATTGAAGCAGCCTCTCTGAGAAACAGATAAGAAGAGCTTCTCAGGGTCATCTTGCAATCCACTCGGTCCCCCCCTCCCCTTTCATTTCCCAAAGTGTGAGAATTCTCCAGGCATTCCTAGTGCCAGGCAATGGTTATAAACCAGGTTAAAATTTATACAAAGAGGACCAGGCAGGAAATAGGATACTTAGGACACATAGGAAAAAGAACTAAATGTGGCAACTCCAAATCCTCCCCCTTCTTCCACGAAGAATGACCGATACACGGATCTGACAGTGTGTTTGCACATGCATGTAATTTGTTATGAGGTTTGGAAGAGCAGTTCAGTCAATAAAGATATGTAGACATTATCTTGCAAACCACCATCTGATCCATGGGCATCTTCTGGGGGAAGAGGATAAAATAAGTTAAAGTGTAATAATGCAAGTAAAAAACTGGTGGGGCTTTGATCGTGACTACCCCTCTCTCCTCATGGATATCTTTGAGCTTATTCATTATCTATTCTTCTAAATCCAGTTTAAAATTCACTTGAGATTCATCTTCTTTGTCTTCATTATTTTCAGCTATGTGATTGTGATTTACATTAAATGTGATTGATATGATCATATTATTTGTAGAACTTGCAGCTTTTCAGTTAATCAAACCTAGTCCTTTCTATCTCAATGCTGGAAGATAGTGGAATTCGGAACACTGCAGTATCACCCTGTTAGTACATTTAAACAGAACCAATAACACTAGTCGAAACTCTTCTCATTATCCATTCTTCTGTTCACTGTTGTTGACATTAATGAAACTTGGTATCTTTAAAATGCTGAGTCAGCCAGGCCCACAAATGCATTGCTAATATTTAATAATTTTATATGTAGAGATGTACATTTTGCTATGAGAAAAGGTTGGAGTAGGTGTGGTGTATGTGAAGGAGAATTGGTGTTTTTAAGCAAGAAAACAGGTGGGTTGTCACTATCATGGCTCATACCTTTAGGAGTCATGGTGAAATGCTTAGTGATGCCATGCTGGCATACCAATGTGTCTCTGATAGGCATTCCACAAAGAGAAACTACTCAACTGGCCTGTAAGTAAATGATCAATTTTAAAAGGAAATGGGAGAAGGAGAGATTTACTCTGTAATTAGGCCAGATTCTATCATCCCAAAAATGCTTGGCAGAAGGAGGGGAAGAGAACATGGAACAGAGTGAGGCTATGCAGAGTGATGATACTTGATTGCATCCAAGAGGGAACAGGAAGAGAGGGGATGTTCCAAAAATAATACCCAGTGATAGGGCACTGATAGAAGTCAGCATCTGGCTGAGACAGAAATGAAGTGCAAAATAGCAATACTTCCCCATTTCAAAAGGAACTTGATTGGCAGTATTATTGAAATTTGTATCCATGGCTAAAATGGGACTGGAATAGAAATGTAATTCAGTTGCATGCAGTGGTTATGGTACTATGTGATTAAAAATCAAAAGGAGGCCTTTATCAGGAAGAGTTCTTTGTATCATACTTTCCTACATCAAGAAAGCAAATTTTCAAACCTCATAATTATAAGTCAAATGGAGCAAACAGAATCTCTTCCGTGTTAATAATTGTGCTGCTAATATATTTGGAGCAACTTTGTGGGATTCTGTCATGGAACAATAGCTCCCTTGTTGCAGTCAATGTGTGTAAATAAGATC